GATGGCCCACCCCCAGCCCAGCCCGCCCTGGCCTGTGCTCACCGCCGGCCAGGACGACCCTGGTCAGGTCATACACCTCTTCCTCCGGCTCCTTCTCCTTCTTCTTCTTCTCCTTCTTCTCCGGAGCCCGGAGCAGGGACAGCTCCTCGGGGTGCCGGATACCTGAGGGGAGCTGGGGCCTCAGCGGGGGCCGAGATCCCGCCCCAGGACCCCACGTCTCACCCGTGGGCACTTGGGGCGGGTCATGCAGGCAGGGTGTGGACCAAGACAGCTCGGACAGGCTGGACGCAGTGGCTCACGCCCGTCATCCCAGCACTTTGGGAGGCCGAGGCAAGAGGATCGCTTGAGCACAGGGGTTCAAGACCAGCCTGGGCAACATAGGAAGACTTTTTTTTTTGAGTCTCATTTTGTCGCCCAGGCTGGAGTGCACCCTCACGGCCACCACAGCCTCGACCTGCTGGGCTCAGGTGATCCTTCCGCCTCAGCCTTCCAAGGAGCTGGAACCACAAGTATGCGCCACCACGCCTGGCTAAATATTTTTTTTTAATTGTAGAGATGAGGTCTTGCTATGTTGCCCCGGCTGGTCTCCAACCTGTGGGTTCGGGCAATCCTCTCGCTTCCACCTCCCAAAGTGCTAGGACTACAGGCAGGAGCCACCGACCCAGAGGAAGACTTTGTCTCTACAAAAAAATTTTTTAAATTATCCAGGCGTTCGGTGGCTCAGCCTGTAATCCCGCGCCTTTGGGAGGCTGAGGTGAGTGGATTGCCTGAACTCGCAGGTTCGAGACCCGCCTGGGCAGCGAGACCTCATCTCTACAATAAATCAAAAAATCAGCCGGAGTGGTAGCGCATGCCTGGAATTCCGGCTACTTGGAAGGCTGAGGCGGAAGGTTCGCCGGGGCCCAGCAGGTCGAGGCTGCAGTGGCCGGGAGCGGCCACTGCACTCCAGTCTGGGCGACAGAGTGAGACTCCAACTCAAAAAAAAAAAAATTATCCAGGCGTGGTGGCATGTCCCAGCTCCTCGGAGGGAGGCTGAGGCGGGAGGAGCACTTGAGCCCAGGAGTTGGAGGCTGTGGTGAGCCATGATCGTGCCCCTGCACTCCAGCCTGGGCAGCAGAGTGAGACCCCGAGTCAAGAAGGAAAAAAAAGCGAGGACAAGGTGGCAACCGCTGGGTCTGGAAGCAGAGGGGGCCTGCCCGGGTCAGCCCCCTGGCGGGCCGGTGAGGGCACCCGCCAGCAACTCACTGAGGAGGCGGCAGATGGCGGCCACGGCCTGGAAGAGCGGCTGGGAGAAGCTGGCACGCAGGCGCAGGGCACGGCGGTTGGGCAGCCGCAGGATGACCGGCTGGTGCTGGGGCCCGAAGAAGAGCCGGGCGTCGGCCAGGATCCCGTACTTGTCCAGCGTCCAGTGGGTCTGCAGCAGCCACTGCTTCTTCTGCTCCCACCAAAGCGCGTGGTCGGACCAGTCCTGCTTGCGGTCTGCGAGGGGGGAGCCTGTTGGCCTGGCGGGGCCCCGCCGGCCTTCCTCCCTGCGTCCCTGGGGTTCCAAGGCCGCGGTGGCGCTGCCCTCCCCGCCCAGGCCAAGGGTGGGTTGGGCCCCAAGGCCGTGGCAGAACGGCTGCTGGGGGCTGGCGCCTGCTTATGCTTCCAGGCTCGGCCGCCACCTCACTTCTCAGGGGAGCCCTCCCCGCCCAGCCTCTGGGGGCAAGCTCTTCTCTCCTTTGAGTTGGAGTCTCACTCCGTCGCCCAGGCTGGAGGGCGGTGGCACGCTCACGGCCACCGCAGGCTCAACCTGCTGGGCTCTGGTGATCCTTCCGCCTCAGCCTTCCTAGTAGCTGGAACCACAGGCATGCGCCACCATGCTCGGCTGAAGTTTTTGAATTGTAGTGGAGATGAGGTCTCGCCCTGTTGCTCAGGCTGGTCTCGAATCCCTGAGCTCAGGTAATCTTCTCGCCTCTGCCTCCCAAAGTGCTGAGATGACAGGCATGAGCCACCGCACCAGGCTGGGTGCCTCGATCTTGGTGCCCCCACCCCTGCACCCCAGCCCTACAGGGGCCTCCTGCACACGGTGCTCCCCCTGTCCTGCGGATATCGCTGGCTTAATGGCTTTTCTCATGCATACCCGTGAGCTCTGGGAGGTGGGGGCTATGTCTGGCTGGTGGCTGCAGGTGCTCAGGGCCCAGTGGGCATGCTGTCAATACTATGTGGCCTTGGACAAAGCATTCAACCTCTCTGGGACTCCATTTTCTTACATGGAAGAGGTAATAACTGGCTGGGCACCGTGGCTCAGACCTGTAATCCCAGCACTTTGGGAGGCCGAGGCAGAAGGATGGCTTGAGGCCAGAAGTTCAAGACCAGCCTGGGTAACATAACAAGATTTCGTCTTTACAAAAAGTTCAAAAACTAGCCAGGTGTGGTGGTGCGCGCCTGTAGTCCCAGCTACTCTGGAGGCAGAGGCGGAAAGATCGCCTGAGTCCAGGAGGTCGAGGCTGCGGTGATCCATGATTGTGCCACTGTACTCCAGCCTGGGCGACAGAGCAAGACCCCAACTCAAAACAAAGCAAAGCAAAGAGCTGAAATAACCACCCTGACCTCTTAGACGCAGAGCAACAGCTGCTACATGGTAAGTGAAATGTTGGTGGCAAACTTATGACAGCACGTGACTGCCCATGAGTGCGCATCCCGTGAGAAATGGGACGATGTCCCTCATCCGCCAGCCGGGAACTGGGGACGCTTCGTGGAGGATGCAAGGTCTTCCTGTCCTCCCTCCCCCCAGGAGCACGAGCCCGCGGGAGTTAGCACAGAGACAAAATGACTCGCTCTCCTGGGGGCACCATCCTTGAGAGTTTGCAAAGCCCCTATTTGTTGAGTTCTTGCTGGGCCCTCCTGGCAGGTTGCCTAGTTCCCACCTGCACCCACCCCGTCTGCTGCCTGCCGACCCCACCGCTCCTCAAGGTCAGGAGCTCAAGACCAGCCTGGGTAACATGGTGAGACCTCGCCTCTACAAAACGTCGAAAAACTACCCACGTGTGGCAGCGCGTCCCGTAGTCCCAGCTACTTGGGAGGCTGAGGAGAGAGGATCAGTCTGCGGTTCTGCTTGGCACCGCCCTCCCCTCCCTGCTTCCCCTTCTCCTGACCCTTTCTTTTTTTTTTTTTTCCGAGTTGGAGTCTCACTCTGTCACCCAGACTGGAGTGCAGTGGCCGCTCCCGGCGATCCTTCCGCCTCAGCCTCCTGAGTAGGCAGAATTACAGGCACGTGCTACCACGCCCGGCTGATTTTTTATTTATTGTAGAGACGAGGTCTCGCCAAGTTGCCCAGGTGGGTCTCGAACCCACGGGCTCAGGCAATCCACTCATCTCAGCCTCCCAAAGCGCGGGATTACAGGCTGAGCCACCAAGCCCGGCTTACTGACCCTTTCTTTGCTCTCTGGTCCTCTCCTGCCCTGCCCCTTCCCGGCCCTTCTGGGACCCTCCTCTTCCACCTCTGCCAGTCCTCCCGCCGTCCCTCCCAGGTTGCCATGTCTGCAGTTTCCACTGCCATCTTCTGCCACGAGCCCCACGCATGGCCCTCCTGCCCAGGCCCCATCCTGTGCCCCAGGCCGAGGGGCCAGCCCACTGGTTCCCTGCACTCCAGAAACCTCTGTCCTGGCCATGCGCCCGGCACTGGGACTAAAAATGCCAACATCGGGCGCTCAGCTGAAGCCCACCCTGGACAGAGGCACTCCCTCCCTCCTCACTGGCTCCTCCGTGCCACGGCTGGGAGCCGGGCGCCAGGACCTCCCGCCAGTGGCCCGAGCATCGCCTCTTGCGTGTCTAGCCGCCACACGAAACCCACGTCAATCTCGCCCAAACGCAGGCAGCCTCAGTGTCTCTTGCCAGGTCTTTGGCAGCGTAAATGTCAGCACGACAGTCTCCCGCTGAAAACCCTGGCGGCTAGCCATCGCCTCCAGCATGAAGCCCAAACCCCTTCTGGAAGCCTTCAGGGCCATGTGCAGCCGACCAGGGCACTGCCCAGCCTCGTCTCTGGCCACACTCAGAGGGCCCCATGTCCCCACCTCCGCTGCCCTCCTGCTTCCTGCTGTGGCCACCTCTCAGGACTCGAGAGGCTTCCTCCGGGAAGTCTCCCTGTCCCCGGCAGGGTAGCCCCGCTTCGGTACCCACAGCTCAGCTGTCAAGCAGCCCCATCCAAGGGGCCAGCCCCACCTGCCAGGGGCATCCCGGGAGGCGGGAATGACACAGGGCTCCCGTGGACCCGGAGAGGGAGGGCGAGGGCAATATCCCCGAGCCAGGGGGCCCAGAGCTGAGGACTTGCCCTGGACCCAGCAGCGGGTAGAGCAGCAGGGTCTGCCTGGCTTCACACCTGCGCTAGCCACGTGCCGTGTCTTGGGGCCAGCCGGGTCTTCGTGGCCCCCTCAGACTCAGTCAGACACTGTCCGGGAACCTCTGTTTCCCACTTCCGCCTCTGCTGCCTCCTTGGGCCCTGCCTCTCAAAGCGGCCTCAGTGCCTCTGCCTGTGACCAGGCTGTCCGGCCTGTCCTGTCTACAGGCCGGCGACCTCCCTCCAGGGCTGCACGCTGGCTGGCTGAGCTGGGGAGGTCTCCCCACCCCCACCTCAGCAGCCCAGCACCCAGGCTTCTGCCGGGACGCCTGTCGGCCTGCTTTCCGGTTCTGGCTATCAGGGTCGTCCCTGCTGCCCTCCCAGGAAGGGGCAGCCCCCCGTCTGCGGCAGGGGAGGTGGTGAGAAGCCCCAAGTCACGGGCCCACGTCCCTCCATGGCTGATACCGCAGGCTCCTGCTGTAACTTCCTGTGGGGGCAGGGCCTTCCCACCCAGGCCAGCCTGTCACCAACTTGCCCAGAGCTTCCGCCCAGGGAGGGAGAGTGGGAGGAGGCCTCCCTGGAGTCCCCCGGGGGCCTCTCAGGCCTCGCCCCAGGCAGGGCCACCCTTCTGCACCCCGAGATGGGTGGCCGGGCACCGTGGCCAGTCTGGTCCTCAGGGGCTCAGCAGAACCGGCCGGAGTGGGAGGAGGGAGCAAGGCTGTGGGAGGGGAAGTGGGCGCCATGTCTTTTTTGGAACAGAATGATCAAGCGGGTGCCTGAGTCACCGTGACACCATTATCGCGAGTGGGCAGGAGGGTGGCCCGGAAGTGCTCAGGACGCGCGCTGCAGCCGCCCAGGGGCACTCACTGATCTGCTCCACGACCTTCAGCAGCAGCCCGCCAATGTGCAGCTCCCCGGTGACCCGGAGCATGACTGACTCGGCCTCTGGGTCCGGGTCCCCCACAAACACCCGCAGCTCCCAAGACGCGTCAATGTAGTCCCCGGAGGCCGTCTTCATCCCCGCCATGGCTGCGGCCGCTTCTGCAGAGGGCGGGAGGGGGTTGGGGGGCGGGCACTGGGGTCTCGCAGGTTCCCGTGTTTTAGCAGAAGGCGCTCTGCGTGCCCTGGAGGGCTGGGAGAGCAGGAAGCACGTCTGCTGGTTGGCATGCCTGCGGGAGCAGCGTCACAGGGCACCAAGGGGTTCCAGGCCAGCCCGGGACGCTCCCCGTCACAGGCGGCTGAGCCGAAAGCCCCCTAATCGGCCAGATGTCTAACCCACACCCATCCCGCAGAATGGAAGACTGAGGCCAGACAGGAAGGCGCTCACTAAGGCTCACCCCGCTCGGCGCTAGAGCTGGGCACAACCCGGGATGCTTCCCTAGTCCGGTCACCCACAGACCTCAGACGTGGGCAGCCATCCACACTGGCGTCGGCCACATACCCAGGGCGGGAGGCAGTTCTGATCCTGGCCCACGGCTGAGATCCAGACATCAAAATCCAGCCGAAGCCCGCTGGGCGGTGGAGGGTTCATGCCGCGAGTGGGAGTGGCGTGCTAGGCCAAGGCGGCAGGGGTGTGGAGGAGAAGGTGCGGGGTCTCCAGCTGCTGGCCTGCGCTTACCTTGCCTGTGAAGGGTCGGGCTGTGGTGGCCTTGGGTGCACACCTGGGTCGCAGGGCTTCCTGCCCTCCGCCTTCCCGGAGCGTTCTTCAGAGGGCAGCCCTGGCGCTGCCTGCTGCCTTATGGGTCGAGCGCCCTGGCTCCTCCCCGGGGTGGGCTGGTGCTGGGTGCAGGAAGCATGCTGCCAGCCACAGAGGGCTCCCGGAGGCCCCGCCTCTATCCCCGGAGAGCACAGGAAGTACGGGGAGCGGGCTGGTGGGCCCCGCACCACAGAGGACGGCCTCCCTCCACCTGGAGGGAACCTGGGCCACGCTGGAGAAGCCTCATGGGGGGCTGAGGCCGCCCTGACAACGGGGGACAGCCCGGGACTCGGAGGATGGCATCCGGGTCACTGAGGACTTGGCGAGTCAAACCAGCTCAGGCCTAGCTGCCCCCTATGGAAGATTCCAGAAGACCTCAGGGAGGGAAACCAAGTTCATTGCTAAGTTCTTCCTACCCCCACGCTGCCAAGCTGCCCAGGTGAACGGGTGGCCAGAAACTAGCCCCAGTCGCTCACAACCTCCGGACCCCTGCCCTCGCATCTCATGGCTTCCCACGTGACGCTTCCACTGTCACTCCACTTGCCACGTTCTTCCTGAGCACCCATGAGGATCTCCCGTCAGGCCCGCCCAGGCACCTCGGTCTCTGGGCCTGACGCTTTTCTGCCCGTCCGTCACCTGCAGAGGAACGTGGCGTCTAAAGCGAGGCGCCAGCTCTGCGCGGGATGTGGCCTTCGTAGTGGACACGGTGGGGTGGGAGAGGGCAGAGGCCGAGACGGCAGCACTGAGTGGGGACAGCTGAGGCCTCGCGGAGGCAAGGCTGCCTGGATGCCGGCTCGTGCCACCCAGGTGGGAGAGGGGGCCGCCCGGGGACTCCCAGGGCAAAGGCCGGCTTGGGCAACCCAGGGCCGCAGAAAGGCCAGCAGGCCGGGCTCGCCTCCCCCCCAGAAAGGAGCACTCGAGCCAAGGAGGAAGTCCTGCTGCTGCCCGCAGCCTCCGATCCAGGAGAGCGCAGTTTGCTGAAGCCTTAGAACAGCCTAACAGACGCTTAGGCCCGAAGTTCCAGGTGTGTGATGAGCTCTCAACATTGCGACCCGATGCGGACCCACAGCCCAGCTGACGGCAGGACCCCTTCCCGACAGTGATCTTGGTACTGCTCACGTTGAGCCCTTCTTGGCTCTGGGTTGGCCCGTGTTCTCTGATCTAGCTGGACTGACTTTGAGACCAAGAGTGTAAAGAATTCGCAGCGTGGGGCCAGCCCAACGTGCATCTGACCCCCTCCCTGGGGCCACTCAGGGCAGGAGCAGCCAGGTTCCCTTCAGCTGGCAACTGAACAATAGCACCACCTAGCGACCCCTGGGCAAGGGCCACCTCGCTCCCAAGGCGGCAGAGGGAGAGCACTCGGGAGGGCTTGGACACCTTTTCCAGCCCAGGGAGCCACCCCCCTTCACGACAGTCTCTTGGCAAAAAACAAAACAAAACAAAAAAAACACCACTCAAGGCAACACGAAACCACGCCCGACTGGCTTTATTGGAGAAGAGGACGTGGATTACCAATGTGAAGACAGCTGGGACCGGGGGTCGGAAAACACCCTCCCTCCCTGGACATGCCCACTGCCCCAAATAAAAAATAACCAACTATGGAGGAGCAGCCAGGACAGCGACTGAGGCAGGGAAGGGGCACGGAGTTGAGGGCAGCAGTGAAGAGACCATGCGTGCGCGGGAGGCCCGGAGGCAGCGGCCGCGCGAGACCAGAGCCGAGTCCCGGGCTTCCCGTGGGTGTGCATAAATAGGCGACGGGCCGCGGTCTCCCTCTCCCTCTCCCCTCCGCTCCGCGCTGCCGGCGCGGTCCCAGCTCCTCTTCGCACATGAGGGCGAAGGGAAGGGGCGAGCGAGTCATCACCGAATCGCAATCAGCCCCACGTCCATCAGCTTCTGAATCTTCTGTGCGATCACCGGGTTCTTGAGGTGTCTGGGGGAGGAGGGGCAGTGGCTTGGAGTGAGACAAGCCCAGAAAGCCTCCCCTGCTGTCAGGCCAAGTTCGAGCCTCCCAGAGGCCGCCAGCAGGGAGGAGTCCAGGCGGAGCCTGCCGAGCTGACACACGCGGCTTTTGGCCAAGACCGTCTCCAGCCAGCAAGCCTTTCCAATGGCCGCCTAAGTACCACGATCACAAACGCAGCCTGTCCAGCTCACCACCCACCGCCACCCTCTTCCTTGAGGTTCTCAGCAGAGGTCACGCCCCTCCCAACCCCGCACTCGCTCAGCCCACGCGTCTGCTGTGTCTGTCCCACCTTCCCGCAGGGCCGCCTCCCCAGCTCCACTCACTCGCTGAGCGCCTGGGGGTCCTTCTGCATCTGCTCCAGGATGAGTCGC